ATTCTAAAACTCAGTAACATATTTAAAATATTAAATTATGATCAATTTAAAATGAAAGTTGAATTGTATTATTACTACTAATAAAAAAAAATTAAAGTATTGTTTTTCTTATTTTAACATTTCATTTTTTTACATAATTTATTTTTATTTTTATAAATTTTATATTAATTAAATAAGTAACATAAATATGCACTAAATGAATGTTTTAATTTATTTTAATGTTTAAACAAAAATGTGGCTTAGGTGGATGCTTAGGTGGCATCATGAGAAGAGAGAAAAAGCTAACTTTATATATATAGATTTATATGAATGTCAATTAAAAACTAAAAAAATACTTAATTTTGTTTATATCCTTATAAATTCAAAAATGTTACATTGATCTGTAACTTATTTACAAAATACTTTATGGAATGTAAAAAACCTATCACGTTGTGTCAACCTTACCAGACGCAATATGCCGTATGGGAATCTCCTGATCTTGTCAGACAATGTATTCATCTTGTTCTGTAAACTCTACATAAATATCTCTCTTATATTTCACATAGCTTTAAACATATAACTCTCTTCTAACACTTTTCCAAAATATTATTATAATTTCACGTAAGAGTTTACAAACTAATACAAGTTATATATTGACATGTAGTTTTCGTTTTAATGAAAAACTCAATACTGTTTTTCTCACAAACCGCTAAATCACAATGGACCTAGTTTCTTACACAAACCGCAAAACCACCACTCGTTATATAGTATATAGTATGTTTGTATATTATTTGTTTTTAGGTCTAGCTAGACATATTCATAAAACTATACACGTATACACAGAACAAGAAAGCTAGATTGTATTTAAGTCTTTCATATATAATAATACAAAATTTGTGAGAAGAAATAGAGTACACGTATACCACAATAAAGAAAAAGCTATATAGATTGTCAAAAACAACGTTATGGGGGGCTCTTTGCATTAAACTCACGAGTTAGCTATCACAATTCACAAGTCTCAAGTTTGTGGTCTCTATAGAGTATCGTAGTAGTCAAACAAACAAACAAAAAAGAGCATAACACGTGATTTCTATCAACAACTCTTGGAGAACTTTGCTAAACTTTTTTATTTCTTCTTTCGTGTGTGTATGTGTTAATTGCTCTTTTTCCAATCATTAATTACCTATCGTTTCTTATAGTTGCACGTAGTTATCACATGTTGCAATCCAGAAAAACTGAAACTGACGTTCCCCATAACTTACATCCTTACTCATGATTTACATACTAGTCCCTATATTTTGCAATTGTTAGTGTCTTAACCACCAATTTAGAGACACCACCCCTAAAGAAAGCTACTCAAACTAACATCATACGTTACCAATCAAAATTGGCATTTAAGTTAGAATTCGAAAGAAACAATAACGTGGTTGGATATGCATCATGGTCCATTTCTTTTTCATATACAATTATCATCACAACTACTAAAACGACAAATAAAATTAATCATCAAAAGAGTTAAAGGACCAGTTTTGAGGGTTCTCTTAGCAATTTTGGGTTATTTAACCATTTCTATATAATACCAGACAGCTGTAAGCTTTGTTTCCATATACCTCTATATATATATCATAACAAAACTTGCCCTCCAAAACACTTTTAAGAACCTTCCACTTTTGTTTTTTTATATCATATCTTAAGCGAATTGTGTTGTGAGATGGGTAAGCACAGAATCGCCGGTAAATATGGTCTCCGAGACATCACGGCGGCAGAGATGGAAACCCTAGCTAGCTTTTGTGAAGCTGTCTTGCCTCCAGTACCGCCACCTCCGGAAGAAATTTCCGGTGATAGTAACCACCGGAATAAAGAAGCTCTCCGGTCATTTTACTCAACTTCTGGTTCTCAAACTCCTGTCCTTCGCCAGGTACACACACTTTACTCAAATGCTCTGTTTATTTTAAGTTCTTGAAATAAATCAAGAACGTGTGAGTGACCTAATGATTTTTTTTGTGGTTCTCTTTTGACCACTGTAAACCCCTTAAATGTAACTCTTTTTGAGACAACAAAAGTGAAAGACTTGTTAAATGGATGCAGAGCATAGAGCTGATCACGAAACGAGGGACGATAGAAGCTTACCTTGTGACTAGGCTTATACTGTTCTTGCTTGCTACTCGGATTGGGACACTACTAATCTGTGGAACCGAGTGTTTGGTCTCGAGATGGCCGTTCGTTGAGAAATTTAGTGAACTGTCGTTGGAGAAGAGAGAAAGAGTACTTCAGAAACAGTTCAGGAATTGGTTCTTGACTCCTGTTAGAGCTGGTTTTGTATACATCAAAGTTGCCATCCTCTTCTGTTTCTTCTCTCGGGTATGTCTGAAATCCTCTCTGTTTTTTTTTGTTTATACTTGAAGCCTTGTCTCAACCACATAGACTTACGTTGTTGAATCCGGATAAACCAGTCTAAAAATTCCATGTAAATAATTCGGAAAACGAATTTTATTGTTTTAGATTCAGCTACTTTCTATAAATCCAAAATTTTTAACAAGAAAACAAAAAGAATCAAATAGAACCAAATCAATAGAAACACGTTTCAAATTTTCTGTTATCAAAAAAAATATATATATTAAAAATAAGTCTCTATCAAAAATTAATGATGTATATTTTTTTTTACGAAAAATCATTTAAATCGAAATCTTATTCGAACCAACAACTTTATAATACTATATAAATTTTTTTTTTTAGTTATAACAATTCATATATTAAAATTCCATAAATTAGAAAAGATTAAGCCTAAGCCGTACTAAACCGATTTTTACCAATTTTATACATATATTTCAATATGAATTTAGTATATTGTAAAAACAGAGCTATTTTTATGAATCTTCAAGATTTTTTTGATTTATCTTTGCTTTTGTGTAGGTGAGTCCAAATGGCGAAAACTCAGCATGGGAAGCAATAGGGTACAAAGTGAACCTTGACGAGAACAAACCTGAAACACATAAAGCAAGACCTCTTGAGAAAGGGATAGTGGAGACTATGAATGAAACAGAGGAGACTCTTCTCGAATCACTAGCTCGTAAATGCTTACAGACTGACCACGATGTGGACAACGATGCGATCAGAATCAAGTGTGACGCTGTGGTTGTCGGATCTGGTTCAGGAGGAGGCGTGGCTGCTTCTGTTCTAGCAAAATCTGGTTTGAAAGTGGTTGTTCTTGAAAAAGGAAGCTACTATACGCCGTCCGAGTATCTTCCTTTCGAAGGTCCTGGCATGGACAAGCTATATGAAAATGGAGGGATTCTTCCGAGCGTTGATGGGAATATTATGGTTTTGGCTGGAGCAACGGTGGGAGGTGGCTCTGCTGTGAACTGGTCTGCGTGTATCAAAACTCCGAAAACTGTTCTTCAAGAATGGTCAGAGGATCAAAAGATACCTTTCTTTGGTACTAAAGAATACGTTTTGGCTATGGAGGCTGTGTGGGAGAGGATGGGAGTCACGGAGAAATGTGAAATGGAGAGTTTGCAGAATCAGGTTCTGAGAAAAGGTTGCGAAAATCTCGGGTTTAATGTCGAAAACGTGCCGAGGAACTCCTCGGAGAAGCATTATTGTGGATCTTGCGGGTATGGATGTAGACAAGGAGACAAGAAAGGAAGCGACCGGACCTGGCTTGTTGACGCTGTGAGTCATGGTGCAGTGATACTAACGGGAAGTAAAGCGGAGAGGTTCATACTCGAAAAGAACTGTAGTAACAAAGGAGGCAAGAAAATGAAATGTTTGGGAGTGGTGGCTAAATCTTTAAACGGGAACATAGAAAAGAAGATAAAGATCGAAGCTAAAGTTACGGTTTCTGCAGGAGGTGCTCTTTTAACACCTCCTTTGATGATCTCTAGCGGGTTGAGAAACCGACATATCGGTAGAAACCTTCACCTACACCCTGTTTTGATGGCGTGGGGTTACTTCCCGGACAAGGCATCTTCTAATTTCAATATCAAAGGGAAGTCCTATGAAGGCGGGATCATAACATCAGTAAGCAAAGTGTTATCAGAAGATTCAGAAGTCAGAGCCATCATAGAGACACCAGCATTAGGACCAGGTTCATTCTCGGTGCTATGTCCTTGGACCTCAGGGCTAGACATGAAGAAGAGAATGGCTAGATACTCAAGAACCGCGAATCTCATAACGATAGTTAGAGATCGCGGGTCAGGAGAGGTGAAAACCGAAGGAAGGATAAGCTACGTCGTGGACAAAACCGATAGAGATAACATAAAAGCCGGGCTTAGACAGTCGTTGAGGATACTAATTGCAGCTGGAGCAGAGGAAGTGGGAACTCACAGAAGCGATGGTCAGAGACTAATATGCAAAGGTGTCGATGAGGATTCGATCCAAGAGTTCTTGGACGCGGTGAGTACTGAGGAAGGGCCAAAAGGGATGACTGAGAAATGGAACGTGTATAGCTCAGCTCATCAGATGGGAAGCTGTAGAATTGGAGAAAATGAAAAAGAAGGTGCAATAGATTTGAATGGAGAGAGTTGGGAAGCTGAGAAGTTGTTTGTGTGCGATGCAAGTGCGTTGCCTAGTGCTGTTGGTGTTAATCCTATGATCACAGTCATGTCTACAGCTTATTGTATCTCCACACGAATCGCTAAGTCCATGACCACAGATTTATATCACTAAAAGCTAAGTGGTTTCATCGATCCGTGCATAAAATTTCGTATGTTTTTTCTTAGTTGTAAAGTAGTTTCGTATTCATCAAAATTAAATTAATGTGTGTAACCAACATGATAATTCATAGTTAATGACTCATCCTATATTGATTATCATGGTTAGAGAAAGATTTAATTACAATAAAACAGGACCACTAATAAAATTCTCAGTGTCTTTGGAAACGTTACACTTGTTCACTATGGTAATGATTCGATTACGAGAGTGACATAATTAAATATATTGAAAGAGCTAAGTAGTGAAATTCTTTATTAGGAAAAAGAAACAAGACTTATTGAAGATGAAACTCAAAATCAAAATTTACAGAAATCAATATATGAACTTGGGGAAGTTAAGTTGTCTCTTGTTCTTTTTTAAACTTTGGAGCGTTTTAGAATCCATTATTAGTCCCATGTTTCATGTTTTTTTCTAAGGATAAATTGGTTAGGCAAATTCGAGAGTTTCCCAAGGGTTTTTTCTCGAACATCGATGCAAAATCTGAAATGCTTCCTCTATATCCTTGGAACTTGGTTCGAGACTTGAACACTCCAAATTACAGAACCTTGTCTTTGTTTAACCATCTGAGTCCATGTCACGGAACGGTAACGGTACGGTCTTTACTGCTCTAAACTGGCCAACGTTGTTCAAATGCTCATTCTCCACTCTGTAATTACCAAAAAGATTCATATTTTAATTACATCCTAAATCAAGTTTAACAGAGTAATCTCTAGAGTGACCTGGACCTAGGTGAAGTTTTTTGTACCTGTAAAAGTTCCAGTGGCCTCGACGAATGACTTCAAGCGACGCCAGTAAGAAATCTAGCAGATGAGACTGAACAGGGCTGACTCTGAATCTCATTATCGTCTCGATCCAAGCAACTCTCAACACCAAGTTCAACGCCTGGAACAACTCAGAAGTTAGAAGAAGATCTTAACTTGTGAAACACGTTATAACTATGTGAAAAGACTTACAATGGAGAGGTAGTAGTAGTTCTTGTTCCGGAGAACTAAATTGTCTCTTAGCCATGGATTTTTCGATTTAGGATTTAGAAGACCCCAATCCTTGACAAAGTCCCAGTATAGCTGGTAAATAGTAGCCACAACAGAGCTCGCAAGCACCATGGTTAGCCACAAGTTGGTGCTTTCTCTTGCGTAGGTTATGCGAACTCCGGCAGCAACCATCGCTGACACGTATTTTCCCATGTTAATTAGATGATCAGTGTTTGATTCGTCCCACCATCTCCTTATACACTGTAAATTAATGATCATAGTATGTTAGTCAAAAGGTTTTATGGGACTTAAACGAAACAGAGGAAAAAAAGTAAAAAAACAAAAAAACCCTAAGCGAGCTTACTTGCATGGCACGCCAGAAGTAGGGTGAGAAAGAAATTAAGTAAGCAAGTTCTCTATAGATTCTTCCGTTTTTGCAGGTATTGTATTCATGTGTTTTGAAGCTTTGAGCCATGAAGTAGCAACCAGTTGACTCAAGATGTCTCAGCAATGGAATCTGAACAGAACACGATTAATAGGTTAATGATCGACTAAATTCTATGTCGGCTCACTATATTGATATTGAGTTAGTCAATTTACCTGGCTAGTTAGTTGATCAGCCATGAAGAAATCAACCATCAAAACCTATGATCCGTACAAAAAACCAAATAAAAATCACGTTTCTGCAGATTGCTTGAGATGAAAGTTATCAAATTACTCCACTATATAGTACCTTGTAGAAAGGTGAGCAAACAATGTTCCGCAAGATTCGAATGAAGCAGAATCTTGTTGGACGATAAAATGTGTCAAAAGGGCAAATCAAGACACAAATGAAGATCTGTCGCATGCACATGTACACCAAAGAAGGAAATTAGCGTTCTGAAAACTGCGATTGCGGTTAAAAAGTTAAAACTAATGTAAGTGAAAATTTACCAGGAGAAGGATGCCAGGGATGGTATCGACTTGGCTGGCGGAGAAACCAGCTGCACGGAGGATTAGGTGAATGACCATAGCAGCCACGACAGAGGTCATAAACGTGGTTCCCATCAAAAACGCGTCTCGGTAACGCAACGCTGTGTTTGGAGCAAACTCGAATATGAAGGTGTAGTTTATTCTCGTGTTCTTCCACATGAACAGGTTGCATCCGTACATGAACATGTGTAGACTCAACAACGCAAAAACACTGCATTTTTTGCAAACAACACAACACAAAAATACAAATCATTAGAAGAACTATATACAAACAATTTAAATGTTTTCTTTATATTATCGTTGCAAGTAATGAATATATACATTCAATAAATTACCTGAAAACAGGATAAACAGTCTCCATATAAGAGACTTGAGCACCAGAGGTGAAGATTCCAGAAAGATGTGCTAGTATTATGTAAATACTAAACAATGATATGAAGCAACCCGTAAACAATCCTACAAAAGAAACACAATTTTTCAAAAAATTTTAGGTTATTGGAAAATAAATAACAAAAGTATTATAGTAGAAAAGTTTTTTTAAAAAAGGTTTAAGAACGTACCAACAAAGAAAGTGACCATGTGAGAATCTTTAGTCTGGTGGGGTTTCAAGAATTTCATGGCCTTTTTCCTGTCATTGTTGGCGAAGTGCTTTGTGAATATGGACTCCACTTCATCCATCAGTCTTACCACCTTCGATTAATTTTTTAATAAATCATAATTAGTCTTTCAATACATAGCATTAGACCACCTTTTACAAACACTGATAAGATTTAAGTATTACCTTATCAGAGCTGATAAATTGTGATCTCTTTACGACTTTGAGATAAGTCGATGATGCTTGCTGACAAGAAACCTGTTGGTCCATATTAATAAGATTCATCATTTTACCACTATATATTATATCTTTTGTCATTGGTTTATCACCGAAAGTAACATCTATAAGCCACTTTACCTTATCAAATTTCTTCATTATTTTTGTAAAAGCTATCATATTCAACGAGCTGCCAAAATAAAGCAATTCAAGAATTATAATTAAACGAAATAAAAATATGTTATTCTCAGGCATTAATCAATGAATATATATATATACCTGTAAGTCTTTAGTAAGCCGAGACCTCTATAGAGTTCAACAAAGGCACTTCGTATCATCTTCTCGGCGCATTGGATCTTTTTCCGGTTGATGAAATCTCCTCCGCCGCTTCTTGGGTTGTTGACTAGCTCTTCCCACAAAACAGACGTGGCGGTGGCTATGGTTCTTGCACCGCCACCTTCGGCTCCAGCCACGGCGTCGGGGATGTCGACGCGTAGAGACATTTTTGGTTTGCCTCCTTTTGTTTTGCTTCTCGTTGCAGAGTTTATGAAACTCACACCGTTCCTCTCTAATGCATCTATGATTTCGTCTGTTCTTGATGTTTCACTTTGTGTCTCACTTAGTTCTCCTGGAGACCCTAAACAATTAAGAAAGAAATAAAACTAAATAAATTTATATTACTAATAACAAAAGACACAAATTGTGTCGACCTTGTCATCTATTGTCGGTCCATTTTTATTTTCTTACTCACAAACGTTTGTTTTGTTTGTTAGTAGAATTCGATTTGTGTTCTCATGTTCTTGTCGGCCATTGAAATATTTATATGTCGACATAATACAATCTCTAAAATTCTCTCTTTCAAATATTTGCAGCTTCGAGTTTTGCATCCACGTGCAATAGATTCATAAGCCTACCAAATTGTCATTTTCAATAGTGAAATCTCTATTGTGTAACATACGAATTACTTTGAATTATTAATCATAAAATAGAGTTATTTTATAGAATATTAAATAACCTACTTTTCTTTTTACTAGCCGCACTACGTAAACGTTGCCTTTAGGGACATGCACTTTTATGGTTTCTAATGAGTGCAGGCCACGTCAGATCTCAGATATATTAATGTGCTAGCTTTTTAAAGAGTCTATGTCCGACCTAACTTGTAATAAATGTAATAAAAGCATTAACAAGAAGAAGAAGGAGACTGACCTGCTGAGAAATCAGAGTTTCGAGCAGAAGAAGAGAAAGATCGATGCGAATTCGAGCCAGACAAGTTTCTCTTCTTCCGATCACTTAAGATCTGTTTGAGTTCTGCAAGAATCTCCAACTGTTTCTTTAGAATCTCTCCTCTTCCCAAAAACTCTGTTTCTTTGGACTTGTGAAACTGATTCACTTTGTTTAGTTCTTCATCTAGTCTTGCGAAAAACACTTTAACCTGAAGGACAACAATAACAAAAAAGCATCCAACTACTTAATTCAAACGTTTATATTTTTTAGTGGAAGAGAAAAAAACAAAAGTAGTCTAAATTTGACCATCTGCATTAAGATTTAGGAAGTGGGTGGTGTAGTGCAATTTTAGTCTAGCAATAAAAACACTATTGTATGTGCTATGTCTTATTTAATTTTCTGCTTTCAAAGAGTAAGATATAAATATAGTCGTCCTAAAGAAAAATACTGATGATGATATTTAAATAAAGTCGTCAAAAATGAATGCAACAAAAATAGGTCTTTATTTCAAATTTTAATATGGCTAGTTATAGAATTTAAATAATAAATCAATATTTAAGTTTATGCTTTATATAATTATGATAATAAATGTGTAATTATAATACCTCGTCTTCTTCAGAAAACAGCTGAACAAGTTCAGTTTGGTAAATCTCCTCAACGTCATCACCAGTTTCTGAGCTATTTCTTCTTCTCCTTACCTGTTAAATTAATTCAAGAAAAAAAAAGAGATAAGCATAATATTAATTTTCCATTGATTTTTTTTCCCTAATTTTGTCAACAATTTTCATTTAATTCAACAAACCATGTAAACATCATATTTATTTGTATTTTGATATTTTTTGCCTAGACGTGTCATTGAATTAGGGGTGGTGACTTGTGAGTTTGTTATGTCTTTATATATTTTTCCCCGTCACGATGGTTTCGTGAGATATCACAATCTTCACAACCGTTTCTTGCATCTTGGCTTTCGTGAGACTATGAAGTAAAACAAAACCTTATTTTTGGAATTAGCGATTTCGAGGTCTAAGATTTAGAGTAATACAGTCTAATAAGTAATCATTTACTTTCCGCAAAACTATAAATATTTGCATATTTTAGGATTAGTATGTTTTATAGGAGTTTTCTTAAATAAGGTAACCGGTAGGTTGCTTAAGGTTAAGTAATGACCTATACGGTCTAAATCATATGATATAATGATATGTTTTATATATTTGTTACACCACACTAAAAAATTTCCCAACTTGGTCTACAAGACTTAACATAGTAGAACTTTACTAAATCATATCAAATATGTAACATTTACATACCTCTCAATGTGAAAAGCATATAAAATATAAAATAAATATGAGTAAAAGGCAAATTTCTCATGTAACACAAAGCAGAAATAACCGGTAATTCTGACGCGTAAGCAATTACAAAGACGTAAGCAGACACGAAACTCAATAGAAACAATCATAGGGACCAAACAAGTTATAACAAAATCACTACTTCTATGATATGTTCTGTTTTAAATCATATTCAGAATTTGTCTAGCTAAATAGTTGAGTAAACACAGTTTTATCCGACAAAACTCAAAACATATGGTCTCACCAATTATAATATTTTAGTCCCTAATGGTATCAATGTTCAAACTTCGGTAAATGCGTTTAGACCTTATAACCAAGTATGATTAGCAAAAAGGTTACAAAATGTTACACGGAACTTAAAAACTAAAATCATTCAAAACCGACAAAAGAATATAATCAAGCGTGTTTTGTCTTAAGAGAAACTAAACTAAGGTAGATTAGTAGATGATAAAATTTACCTGGAGGATCTCAGGTTTTTCTGAGTTGGAAAACAGTTTATCCGAGAAGGTCCGAGCCAATTTGCGAACCGGGTCGAAAAGGGTACGACCAAAATCAGAGTGGTGAGCAATGGGGTAATGAGAAGCCGGTTTTGGTTTACGAGAGATTTTGATTTTCTTGATTTGTTTCTTTAGTAAACAATAGTTAACAAAGGCCTCTTTCCACTCCGGTATGAGTTGTGCCTCTAGCTCCTTGGAGAACTTCACCATCTTCTTTGCATAAATTTAGTTTCTTCCGTTTTGATTAGAATCTCAATGTTCAATAGTGACTTTGGAAGAAACTATAATGTGAAGAAGAAGAAGAAAGAAAGAGAAAGAGAGAGAGAGGTGTTTAATGTTAAGAGAGGCATTAAGAGGGAAAGAAGAAACTTTGTATATATAGAGAGAAAGACGTGTAGAGAATGTGAGTTTTAGTTTTCTTTTTCATTTTGGTCACTAAATGATTTTAATGGAAATAAAAATATTTTTTAACACACATGGTTTGCAGCTACGAGGAGATTTAACTTTTTTGTTGTGATTTGTTAAAAGTAAAGTTAATATTAATGGGAAATTGGAAACTTTTTTGGCTTTTTTCTTATTGTATTAAATTTGCTTGGCCATTATGCGAAGCTTAATTACACTCACTTGCATAAAGATTTGAATATAACGCACTCATTAGTTATATGGTGTGAGTAGTGCAACTCGTCACGAATCCCACAACACACAAACACATTTCTATTGCATTCAACAATGATAATATTTTAATTTATCTTTGCATTCATTCATTTTTCCAAAAATATTAGATTACTTGGTTTGTGTTTAACTGGTTATTGACTCTGGTTTAAATGTCTGGTTTAATGTTGTAAAGTTTAATTAGCATATATAAGCTAATTAGACTGAGATTAGTCGTTAAGCTTTTGTAACAAACTTTTATACTTTTGATAATAAAGCTTCGCTTCTCTCTTCTTCTCCGATCATCTCCGATCTCCTTTTCCTCCGATGTATCGGTTTTAATATGGTATCAGAGCCATACACGGTTCATTCTTCCGCTTTCTTGATCGGTTCTGGAGTTTGATAGAGAGATTCTTTCTGTTGAAGATGAGTTTTTCAATTCCTTGTTCGATTTGGATTTTGCAATTCATCGGTGTTGTTATTTCTGAGATACTCGCCGGAATACTGGTTTGCTTCATCGTTTTACTTGTTTTTGTCTCTCTCTGAGTTTCCAATCTGGGATTATTCTTGTTCTTTCTGATTTCTCGCATCTTCTTCGATTTCCTTTTATTCTGTTAATGGCGAATTTGGTTCGACCTCCTGTCGACGCTCCAGCTCCTTCTAGATCACAGGTTGATCAGTATGATAATCCGTATTATCTGAATAACAATGATCACGCAGGGTTGAATCTTGTTTCAGATAGGCTTAAGACAGCTTCTGATTTTCATTCTTGGAAGCGTTCTGTTATGATGGCTTTGAATGTTCGTAATAAGATTGGTTTTATCAATGGAACGATTCTAAAACCTGCTGAGGATCATCGCGATTATGGAGCTTGGTCTCGTTGCAATGATATTGTATCTACTTGGTTAATGAACTCAGTTTCTAAGAAGATAGGACAGAGTTTGCTTTTCATACCTACTGCTGAGGGCATATGGAAGAATATATTAGCTCGTTTTCAGCAGGAAGATGCTCCTAGGGTATTTGCTATAGAGCAGAAGTTGAGTAAGATTGAGCAGGGATCAATGGATATTTCGACTTATTACACAGAGTTGCAGACTTTATGGGAAGAATATAAAATTTTTGTAGAAGTTCCTGTCTGCACTTGTGGTCGATGTGAATGTGATGCTGCAGTGAAATGGGAAAAACTCCAGCATAGGAGTCGTGTCACAAAATTCCTTATGGGTCTTAATGAGAGTTATGATCAGACACGCAGACATATTTTGATGTTGAAACCTATCCCTTCTATGGAAGAGGCTTTCAATATTCTTACTCAAGATGAGAGACAGAAGATTATTAAACCTACTACAAGGATTGAGAATGCAGCTTTTCAAGCTTCTGCACCTGTAGATGGTGATATGGAAACTGCTTATATTGCAGCTTATAATACAGCTCGTGGAGCACAGAAACCGATTTGTACTCACTGTGGGAAGGTGGGACATACGGTTCAGAAATGTTACAAACTCATTGGTTTTCCTCCTGGTTACAAGAATGTTGCTTCTGGTTATAATGTCAAGCCTCCGGTTGTTCAAAATCCTATTCCGAGTACACAGTTTCAGCCAAGGATGCCAATGGCACAATCTCAACCAAGGATGACTTATTACCAACCAAGAGGACAGATGAGTCCTTATGAATCGATACACAAGGCAAATGCTGTTGCTCAAGTTTACTCAGAGGTGCCTACAATGGTTAATGACTCTGGATCTTATACCCATCCTCAGTATATGCCTCAGCAATCTATGCCTTATGTTGCTTCAGACGGTTCTATTCAGAATTTGCAGAACTTATCATCTCAACAGATTCAACAATTAATACATCAATTCAACTCTCAAGTACAGGTTCCATCTCAGATACAAGATTCTGATGTTCAAATTGCAGCTGTTACTAGTGTTTCTAATAATGCAATGATTACTGAGAATGGTTTCATGGCTGAGTCTTCTTCTTCTGGTACTGTTTCTTTTCCTTCTACTAGTTTTAAGTATGAGAATAGTAATCTCACTTTTCAACATCATACCCTTTCTTCCTTACAACAATTTTTACCAAAACATGCTTGGATAATAGATAGTGAAGCTTCTAGCCATGTGTGTTCAGACTTAACAATGTTTAAAGAATTAACATCAGTCTCTAATGTCACTGTAACACTTCCAAATGGTACTAGGGTTCCAATTACTCATACAAGCATCATCTGCATATCTTCTGTTTTAGTTTTGCATAATGTGTTACATGTACCGGATTTCAAGTTTAATTTGATAAGTGTTAGTTGTTTAGTTAAAACTTTGTCATGCTCAGCTCATTTTTTTCCTGATTGTTGTTTGATTCAGGAACGTTCTCAGGGCTTGATGATTGGGAGGGGTAAAATTTACAACAATCTTTACATTCTTGATACTGAGAAGCAATCCCTCTCACCATCTCTTCCTGTGGTTTGTTCATTGTCTGGTTCTAAGTTGGATGATGGTGTTCTTTGGCATGAACGTCTTGGGCATCCTTCACCAGCTGTTTTAAATAAACTTGTTAGTGTCATTCCTTCTCTGAAATCTATTTCTTCTACTATTTCTGAGTGTAAAATCTGCCCTTTAGCAAAACAAAAGAGATTAGCTTTCCTATCTCATAATAATCTAGCTTTACATCCGTTTGATTTAGTACACCTTGATATTTGGGGTCCTTTTAGTACTGAATCTGTAGAAGGTTTTAGGTATTTCTTTACTTTAGTTGATGATTGTACTCGTGTAACATGGGTTTATATGTTGAGAAATAAAAGTGATGTTTCAAAGATTTTTCCAGTTTTTCTAAAAATGATTACTACACAATATAATACCAATGTTAAGGCTATAAGATCTGATAATGCTCCTGAATTGGCTTTTACTAATCTTTTACAAGAATATGGAATGTTACACTATTTTTCATGTGCTTATACACCTCAACAGAATTCAGTAGTAGAAAGAAAACATCAACACTTGTTAAATGTGGCTAGATCATTACTATATCAATCAAACATACCTTTGCAATATTGGAGTGATTGTGTTAATACAGCAGTTTTCTTAATCAATAGATTACCTTCTCCTTTGTTAAATGATAAATCACCCTTTGAACTGTTGTTGAATAAGAAACCGGATTACTCTTTGTTAAAGAACTTTGGTTGTTTGTGTTTTGTTTCTACTCATTCACATGATAGACATAAGTTTTCACCTCGTGCTAGTCCTTCTGTTTTCTTAGGGTATCCATCTGGTTACAAAGGATATAAAATCTTGGATTTAGAATCGCATTCTATTTCAATTTCTAGGAATGTAACTTTTCATGAGAATTCTTTTCCTTTTAAAACTAGTGATTTACTAGCTCAGTCTGTTGATCTATTTCCTAATAGTATATTACCATGACCTGTACCATTACATTTTGTAGAAACTTTTCCAATTGATGATATTACACCTGCTGGGATTACTAATGCATATGCACCTGCACCTGCATCTTCTGTGCCTGCATCTTCTGTGCCTGCACTTCTGTGCCTGCATCATTTAGTCATACATTACCTGCTGTACCATCAAGTAATCCTAGTACCATTACTAATAATACAGGGACACATGATACTGTTATTAATCCGATGAACATTGTTAGACCTAAACGTGCTACTAGAGCACCTAGTTATCTGACTGAGTATCATTGCTCTCTTGTCCCATTTATTTCTACTCTTCCACCCACAGATAATACTTCTATTCCTATACTAAATACTACTATTACTACAGAAAGTATTAAACCTCATACTAC